CAGAAAAATAAAATATGCATCAGCTCTAAATACATAGAATAAACTTCTAGTGTCAGAATAGAATTAACCTTAGCTGCAGTTAAGAAACAGTCACGTAGCAACCGTTGCTATGTAAATGAAAACTATCAGGATATGGCTTTTCTAGAATAAACACATTTGGGAAAACAATCTCAAAATAAACTAACAAAATATATAACACCAAACAGAACACAGATTGAACTTACAGCCATTGTTTTCGGAGGTGTAAGAAAAGATTGACAACACAGGAGGTGAAGTTTATACATTAACAGGCAGGCTTTCTATCTGCGGACAGGTATTCCAAACTGCAACTGCCTCTGTTACCCACAATGCACTGCTATCTCAAAATTCTCCTTCAAAATAAAATACAGAGAAATTAATACTATAGAACTTTTTAAAACTAATTAAGACATTTCCAACTTCCAGCGTGGGGCATAACACAGTCACTGCTCTTCCCTATGTAATGCTAACGGCAGGTCCCAATAAAACCACTTCTGTTCTGCTTTTTCTCGCTCTGTGTGTGTGTCGACATTACCCTACACGCGGACCCGTTGCCATGGAAACGGTCAGACAACAGCTCAATGAGCAGATAAAGCAGAGATTATCGATCTGGGGAATCAACACCAAAAACATTTCCCACTCACAAAAAAGTAGCAAAAACACCAAAACAGAACATCCAGTCTGTTACATTAAGTTGTCAGGCTTGATGTCTATATTGCGATTATTAATAAATTTTCACCTGAACACAGCGGAGGTTGATTAACTGATTTAAACACCTGCTCTACTGATGACTTGGTGTGCGGGTTGTCCTCTTTTAGTGCTAACGGAACCAAAACACACCGAACTGCGCAGCACATACTAAGGTTACCAAAGTCAATAGCAGGCTAGCAACAGTTAGGCTAGTATAACTGACTCACTGCTCACTTTCTCAATGTTTTCTTTAAATTAAAACGTTTCTTTCCTTCACCTGTTAAATCTGAAACCCTTGAACCTTGTTATCTATGGCTGTCATAAGGATGAATTAACCACTAAACATTGCGTCCCTTTTCAGATTCTTTGCGTGACTGTAGTATTTCCCTGACCATCGATATTCCTGACTCAATGGACAGCAATGGCGCGTGTGTGGCGCACGATAAGTCATGTAATATCGAGTCCAGTAACATATATCCATCAATGCTGCTGCCTCGCGCTCTGTCCTTCTCTCGCACTTGCGGCTACTTAGCAGTAGGTGTCAGGTTACGTTGTGTTGCATTCAATGTTATCGGAAAAAAGAGTTTCATGCGCTTAATGTCTGATTTGACATAACTATTTATTGAATTCATAGTCGCCAGCTGGGCTGGCAACAGGGGTGGCAAGGGTCTCATTTGTGGTGGCAACTGCCATCCCAGTAGATCCGCCCCTGCCTCCAGGGCTTCGTGTCGAGTCCCTTTGGTCTCTGCTGACCTCCAGAGTTTCGTTGCGTGTCCCGTCGGCCTCTGGAGCCTCGTTGTGGGTCCCATCGGCCTCCCGGTTCCTGCTCTGCCGCCGGCAGGTACTTGCTCCACTGCTAGTGTCACAGGTCCTGTTGACCTCCCAGCCGACCTCCTGAGCCTGGCTGGGAGGTCGATGGGACCTGCGATACTGGCAGTGGCAGTAAAACGTCCTCGACCCGATTCTCCACCGTCCTTAGAACCGTCCTTAGAACCAAAACCTCTCGTAAACATACAGACAGACGTGAGAAGGAAAACGCAAATCCCATGCTGAATAATGTTTGTGAGGATGAATACAGGCAATTAAAAAAAAAGTGCTTTCTGTATGTTTTCTTTTGAAATGTTTGTATATTTTATGAATTCATTGTTCAGTGGTCGTTAATGCACCAGACACAAACCTGCAGCCCAGGGGCGGTTCTAGACCGGGGCCAACGGTGATCCAAAGAAGTTATACTTAATAAATGTCTTATGTTAATGCTCAGTGGTAGATTTTTTTAACCTTTACAATATTACTTTAACAATGAATAAAAAATTGTAGTGCTGAACTTTTAGCTGCTGTATGGAGATAGGATCACACTTTCCATCTGCCAGGGATCTGCAAACTGAATCTCTGGAGACACAAGTGGCTCTTTGGGTCATTGTTATATCAAATGATGAAATATTGCTCTGTTTTTTTTTTTCTAAATTACTATTCTTTTTCAAGTGTTGCCATGAAAAAACACTGACTAACCTGGCCTCTGTGGTAAATCTGGTCTAGAACCAGCCTCCAAATCTAACTTCTTATTTATATAAATATTTTGGTAATTATCAGCATGTTCACATAACTTTTATACTTTTAGTTGTCTGAGGAAACATTTTGAATATTAAATTAGGTGTTATGATCAGGTACTCAGTGGTTTACCAAATACTTTTTACACTTGCTTAATTAAGCATATTCAAACATACTACTCTGATTGGAGTACAGTTCTGGGTTACTCTAAGCGACCTCTATGCATGAACGATTGCTCTATGGATCACTTTTTAAAGACAAGAATCACTGCCATAAAATATTGTCTATCACTGCAGCGGACATCCCACCCCACGAGAATCGGGCGATACGCGGTGTGGTGGGCGTCCCTTATTTTGATTTCTGAAAGGTGGCAACCCTAACTTGAACCTTAGGACACGTGTGGTTGAATTGTGGCTGTAATAACCACAGTTATCAAAATGGGTGACCAGAGGTAACATCCAGTAGCATTATTAATATGGAGAATCCTTTAACCTCCTGAATCCATATTGACTGTTATATACGATCAGACTTGTGATCAAGAAGTTATAATTTCAGGGCAATTAGGACTTCTATATTGCTTTTACAATGTAAATGTGACTGCGGGTTCGTTGTGGTCTGCTGTCGTTTTCTCCCTGACCAAAAACCACTGACGGCTGTCTCCAATGTGGGAGACCAGGAATCATGTTGACAGCGTGTCAGATTGGACCGTCCTGCCACTCTCTGCTTTTCTATTTTTGTCAGAGCCGCGGTTTCGACCCAGGCTGCTCCCAAACCACACGAGGAGAAGTTAGAGCAAGCCTGTCAAAAAAAAAAAAAAAAAAAAGGACTGAATGCTTTTGTCTGTTAAAATTTCGGTAGCAAAATACCACTGTTTGTTTAACTAATTACACTATATGTCTTTATTTGCAAGTCTATCATGCATAGCATGTCTGACGTCTCTCCTTTAAACTCAAACAGAGAATCGGAGTGCCCAGCCGGATTCGGTCGAGGCTGCAATCATAATATAGTTGCTCGCGCTTTGCCTGATCGCCTCTTGACATATTCACACGGCGGTGGAAGCGCTTCCCATGTGGAGCTGCGTGCCGTGCTGAGAGCTGATGTGCCTCCAGTTGTAATGATGAGCGTCATTGCCCAGATGAATGGTCATGAGCGCCGTGACTGGCAGAAACAGATGGCACATTGGCTGGGCTTCACGGCCATGCCCTCTGTGGACGGGCCACGTGCAGATAGCAGCTAATTACCAGCCGCCATCAGTGTAATGGACAATTACAGCAACTCGGTTTTACTCGCAAAAACACCAGAGGAGTGACAGTTCGACAGATTCTTGGGTCCTTTCTGTTTTTTTGTTGTTATTTTTCTCAGTCAGTTTGCTGTTGCTTTTAGTAGTTAGCTATGTGGCTTTTCCTCGTAGCTCACTATTAATGATCCTCCTTACACCTTCAAAGGTTCATTCTAGTGCCCCTTACACACAAAAACTTGCATTTTAGCAAGTCTCCTAGCTAGCACACCCTAATGTCCACTTGGCTGCCTGTGCATAACTCTTTTCACCTACCTGTGAACTCCTTTTTAATGACAAGTCACCCATAATCTTCCTTATAAAAGTATATAACAATCAGCTGAAGTGAAAAGGACAAAAAAAAACAAAAAAAAAACCACAAGCGTTATCCAGGAGCAGGATCTCCTGGATAACTTCTAAATTTAGGAACTTCTAAATTTTTCAACCTAACTCTCTCCAACCCTGCCGAACGTAGTAAAATATGAAATTGATGAAACACAAGCAAATGAAACACAAATGGGTTTGTTGGTGTTTTACCAGCTTAGCGGAGGAATCGTTTTTGTTCTGTCTGTCACTCATGCATGTATGGCTACGCTCCCGTCTGTGTTCCAACAACTGCGTCTACTTTCCTTTCATCCCTGCCTGTCAAATCTCCTTATAAATCCTCTTGATTTTGTTTAAATAACTGCTAGAAAAGTAACTTGTCTTGATTGCAGGATGCAATCAGGCAGTTGTGTTTGTCTCTGGGTTTGTCGCCTCCTTCCCCCCTCGATTGAATATCCTCAGACACCTGCGATCGACGGTTCATGTTTCGCTGTTTAACGTGTGACAGGAACACATTCTATGAGCAAATATATATAGTTCAGAGATGCATGCTAGTGGGATCTGGGCTGCATATGACAAATCGTGATTGGCAAACTGTCTTTCTTGTAGTGTTTGACAGTGTCGCCCTGCGTTCTGACTGCTTTTAATGAGAATCGGCTGCAGGAGATTTCAGTTTGCATAAGCTTCAGCTGAAGCTATGATGTAAAGGGAAGAAATGGCAAAGATCGAGGTGAGATTGCTTCCCATTACATGATTCGGTCCCAAAAATCTTTTGCGCGGAACCAACAAAGACTTCCATACAAAGTTAAAACATGTAAATATAACAGAAATAATGATAAACGTAAAAGAAAAAGAAAAGAAAAGCAGCTTTCCATATCCCGTGTTTGTTTTCGACTGGTTGTAAAAAAGGCTTCTTATTTGGGCTGAAACAGCAAAGAAATGATTGTAATGTCACAAAACCATGAAACGTCTGTAGCTCTGGCAGGTCTTACTTTACTACCTTATTATGGAGATTATTATGTAAAATACTATGTGCCTTCTTGGAACAGCAGGCTTGCTGGGAGAAAATGCCAGTACAGTGTGTGCTAAGGCACCAAGATAAAAACAATAAGAAAAAAAACAACAAATTTTAGCCCAAATATTCATCATAATATTCAATTTCAGATATCGTCTCTGTTTTCGTCTGCAGGTCAGCACCCTGCGGAGGGAAGTCGCAGACCTCGGGCAGGTCATGAAGAGAATGGCCACGCTGATGGAGTCTCTCACGCCGTCGGTGCCCCAACCTGCAATAATCTGCCCCACTCACTACTCGCCAGCCCACCACACGTACCTGCACTGCCCGTCCCCTCCTCAGCCCTGCCACTCACCGTCCAAAGCCGCCCCCATCTGGACAGACTCGCCCGTGCCTCTGCCCTGCTCGTCCCTCACCGTCTCCCAGCAGCACGCCGCCATGTGCTACGCGGACTCTCTGACGCACAGACCCCAGAGCCTGCAGTTGGTTTGTCCAGCTATTATACCCAAGTCAACTCCCCCTTTAACTCCAGATTTATCGTCTCGGCAACCGCCGCCGCGGCCGCCGCTCTCCGTCGTCCCGGAGCCTCCGCTGCCTTCTAGTTCTATCAGGTTAAGAGTGCACAGTTCGCCTCCGCAGGACGGGGGGGCTGAGGACCCTCACAAGAGCCCCGGATGCTCTCCTCAAACCGGAACCGTAAGACTCTACCCAAGCCAGAGCTAGGAGGGTTTTGTAGCAGATCCCCTTTAGAACTCTCCTGGACTCTGCAGGACAATTTCCAGGACGCTTTTTTTATTTTTTGTTTTTGGGATATTCCTGAACTTAAATAGACGACTGTTTAGCTGCGGTCTCGAAGGCATTGTAGAGGAATGCAACAAGCAATTCTTTTTTGTTTTGGAAGCTCTTAAAAAATCCAATTGCATGAGGACAGAAAATGTTTAGGTGTATAGCTTTATAAAAAACTAAAACGTAGTGCTCTTAAGTGGCATGTAGAGATCTGAGTCGGCTTTGGAGTTTTACGGTGGACGAGGTCGATCTTTAGTCCCACACCGTGAGGCTCCTCGGACTGGACTCTGCCGTAATGGAGGTCGAGACGTTAACATCGAAGAAGAGAGCAGTGGTCTGTGCTCGCTGCTTTCCCCTCTTCTTCTGCCTGTTAACCCTTCTTTCCTTGCTCACTCAACCCTCGTCGGATGCTCTGGCTGCAGCAGAACAATGCGTGACTGGTTGAATTTGGAAAAGGGGACACTGTGAAACGAGAGACGGGGCGTCTCGTGCTCTTTACCCACCTGCCCGAGGCGAGGAAGGGGGTAAAAGGATGAAGGAAAGTGTCTGTTGGAACGGTGCTGGTGGTGGCGAGGGACTCGTGCTACGCCTTGGGCAGAACAACCCCTGCTGTGGTCTGCCACACCGAGCACAGGGACTCTTTGCCTCCCCCTACTTTTGTCTCGCTTTTCCACATGCCCCCCCCCCCTCCGCCCTCCTGCCCCTATTTCTCTCTGCATGCCTTTCCAAACCTTTTGAGTAGTGCCTGTAGACACACATTAACATGCTGCATGTCGCCCCATGGAGATCCAGCTTGCCATTTACCCCTTCTATTTAAAGGAAACACGGTTTGGTATTTTAATCGCTAAACCTGGCATTTACTGATGCATATTTAGCACAAGTCAGCTCTGTTTGAACAAGGGTTATTTTGGGGCACAAGGTAGTCACCCCTGTTGTAAAGTGGCCTGCAGCAAAACGCTCTCCAATTGGTTCACGAGCCACACCATAATGCATTCCCCACTGATTGGCGCCCTGGGTTAGCAGCTCTGAGATTGTCAGTTCACTCACCTGTCGGGGTGAAGGCAATATTCCCTCATAAAGCACAATAGGGAAATAAAGACACTTTTTTATATATATATATATATATATATATATATATATATATGAATGTATATATACTAAAAATGTATTTTTTTCTACTATAGAGAATTCAGACGTGCACAACGGCCATAAACAATGCAACCCGCGAAGGAAGTTGTGGCAGGGCTGTTCGCTGATGCGACGTTAAACCAGGATTAAGGTCATAACTTTAGTCCAGCAGGTCTGCTCTCGTCATCTCAACTCCTGTAGCTTTGACTCTGCTTCTCTGCAAATGGAATGTACTGTAACAACCTTTTCCCTTTTTTTAAATATTTATCAGATAAACACATATGCTATTAAAAAAAAACCCAAAACAAACATGACTGTTATGAGATGGATTTCTTGTTTTGAGTTCACAAAAGGGTTTTGGGGGAGACATTGAACAGATGGAGAGTTGGGCTAGCAGCTGTTTTATAGCTAGCACGTTCTACTGGAGAGGTAATTAAGTAAATAGGAAATATTTCTAAAATATTAACAGATTTTGTCCATTGCACAACTTACAGCAACGTGAGAAAGCCTTATACCTCTGATTTTTTTTTTTTTTTTTCCATTTGAATGTTTCAGGCCATCAAAAAATCTACATTGGTTTTCAATGATAATTTATGAAGTTATCAAAAAAACATCAATTAAACCTGCCTGGCAACATGAAGTAGACTGAAAGATCTCAAGAAGTCCCCTAATCTAAAGAAATTTAAGAACGGATAAAGAAGCAAAACAAAACAAATTTAATAAAGAGTTGTAAAAGCCATCTCAAAGGCTTTATGGGTAACGAGGGAGTCAGGATCTGCAAAAACGATAGAACACTAGTGAACCTTCCTAGATGTGGTCAATCTAAAATGAAGATTCAAGAAAGCATCGTTACCTCATCCAAAATATCCCAACAAGAGCCAAAAGCACTTAGCATCTCACTTTCCTCAGTCAATAAAAATGAAAAAAAGTCGGGGTAGGGGTCATCCATGGGGGAGTGACAAGGTCAAAACCTTTGCAGACCAAAATAACACAAAGTGCTCAGATTAACAAAAAAAAAAAAACATCTTCATGATTTTTGAAAGTGGCTCCAAAGAAGGTTTGTGACCCATCATAACGTAGCATTTTGGAAAAAGACCATTAAAAATACCAACAATCAAACATGGTGGAGGCAGTATGGTGGTCTGTGGTTGTTTTGCTTCTTCAGGACCTGCTTGACCATGATTCCAGCTCTCTACCCTGAAAATCCTAAAAAATAAATAAATAAATGCCAAAAAACAAACAAAACAAAAGTTTTGGAGTTATCTATTAATGTTAATGCTAAATAAAAAAAAAAGACCATAAAAGCATGGCGGTGGTTTTTGTTCTACATTCTGAAGTGTGAGCGTAATGGTTTGTTGCACGGTCTAACATGTACTCAATCTGCAATTCATGTCAGTGTGTGACGTGGTGGAAGCTGTTTTTCTCAGTCATGTACAAAAGCCTTAATGGGAAACAGAGGTCAGAGTTCGCGGAGCGCTCTGCCCCAAGATGATCTGGATGGTGTTTTTTTTTGCGCTGAGAACGATTACTTGTGCATTTAGCTGCACATCTGCGGGAATGTTGTCATTTCGCCTGGGGTCACGAGACCCATTCATATTTAATGGTGTACAGACAATCCCATCCTCTCGCTGCTTACACGTCGTTTTATCCACCTGCCAGCAAACTCATCTTTAATTCACCACTTTTCCCACTTTATCTGTCATTAGCCCAACTGAAGCCCACCTGGTTTGCTGCTTTATAGCCTTCCTCGTTCTTGATTGTGGGGAAAATCTCCACCGAAGGAATTCTTTTTAACACCTGAGCATTCACTTCAATCCTCTCGCTCCGCGTTATTTTGCGGCGGCCCTGACCTGAATACACCAACAATCCCTCCCCCTGTCCAGCCCTCCCACCCGAGCACACGCTTTTTTTTTTTTTTTTTTCCAGGGGCACAGCCGCACATTTTGTTCTTCCATTCAAATGAGCACTTGATTCCAGTGAAAGGAGCCACTTCACTTGTCCTTCGCCCCAGATTTCGTTAAAAAAAAAAAAAAAACAAAGTTGCTTTGTCAGGGGAGAGAACTTTTCTCTCGGTAATAAATAACAACGCTTTCATCTCTCCCTACATAATGGACATGTATGCAGGAACCCGCTGTGGTCCTCACATTTAAATTAGCCTCTTCCAGCTTTAACGTTCGACTTGTTATGTTTCCCCCATAAGCAACGGGGCCTTGAGAGGCTCTCAGTGTCAGGGCTTCACATTTATCTGCCCCGCTCGGAGTGAGACGGCAGCTGCTATTTGCATCGGTGTAAAGCAAGAAGAAGTGTGAATGGGGGCGAGAGGGGGAGGAAAATGTCCTTGCAGGACAACTTTTGTTTTGATAAATGAGTGTCTGCACCTACTGGTGCTTCTGCAAAAGTGATGGGAGGGGGTAGCAGAACAATAAGCATGTCAGAAGTGGAGATTAATGGCAGCTTCTTTCCTTAGATGGGAAAACAAAAAGAAAGAAAGAAAAGCACCGGGACAGCAGCTAAATGACCTCTTTTGTTGTCTGCCTGTCAGAGGAGAGTTTCTAGTAGTTTTGCAACAAATGTTGGAGAATTACCCTCCCAAAGAGCTTTCAGGATAGAGTCGTCTTCTGTTGTGCTGAGGTAACGCTGATGTAAGCGTCCTTGCTGAGACGTCAGTGCTGAAACGTATGCACGGAGAAGGAACACTCGGCAGTGCTTTGTTCCCTTAGCAGACCTTGTCAGAAAGTTTTGGATGTCGTTTTATGTCTTTGTGCCGCGTGTTTGTGTGCCGGCGGGTTTAGAGATGTGAAAATCAGATTTCACGGCATCTTTTTCTCTGTCTTAATGATCCGTGGCTTTCAAGAATTCAGATGGTCCGAGTGGGGTTAGTCTCACGGACGTCTCAGCCCCGACTTGACCTATAAATCTAAATTTAAAGTCTATTTTTAGTGGCTTGCTAAAATAATATTTAAGGTTACATATTGGACAAGCTTTATGGGAATTGTCTTTTATTAGAAATGTTTTTTTTATTTCTCAAAATAAAAAAAAATCATCAGTGTAAAAACAATTCTGTATCTCAAAACAACTTTTATAAAGTTCATAAATCATAAATTCCTTTTCACAAAGAGCTTTGCAAACCGTTTCCTAAAAGCCACAAAGTGTGTTTTTTAACATACTGACAACTGCGTTTGACCCTAATTGCTGCTGGTTGTCAAGTTTTTATCCCATTTCACTGCAGTTAATCTGTGCTTTGTGTCAGCTCTGCTCCAGACGCCCGTCCACAAAGACCTAACTGCACCTCAGGAGTCATTAAAAAACAAAAAAAAAAAATAGGATTGACTGCGTGAAAAAAGAAAACTAAGGGTTCGCCGAAGCCGGCGCAGGAAGTCTACGATGGCCTCCCTCTCTGTGGAGCTACGCGTATGGATCTCCGTCTGAGTCACCCGGTTCTCTGGGAGCGATAATATGACATGCCTGGCAGCCATCAGCATTTTGTGGGTGTTCGCTGTGTTTATCACTGCGTTCACCCCGGCATGGAGAAAAGATGGAAGATGCTGTCGGGAGGAGACGACAGTGAAGGGGAGGCAAAAGGTCACGCCCCGACATCAGAGGAGGAGGGTGATGTCAGGGGTGATGGGAGCACTTCAGAGGAGCAGTCTGAAGATTCATTCTGTCATAAACTCAGTAGTTTTCTAAAGATGGAGAAACTTTACACTTTGAATGCTTCAAATTATTTCCATTTTCTTACAACTTCAACTGGATATTTTATGATTTTTTTTTTTTTTTTGAGTAATGAATTCTTCCTTTCTGAGTGGCTCTTCAGCTCATGTTGGCTTTAAACTACGTTTTGTCTTCTTTTTTTTCTTTTTTTTTTAAAAAAAAAGGAAAGTTAATGCATCTTTTACCTTCTCTGTTGAAACCTGGATTGGTTTTTCACAACAATCTTGTTGCCAACCTTTTTTTGTTTTATTTTGTTTTTACCATTACGTCCTAAGCGAAAGCAGAAATATGCCTTATTTTTTATGGCAACTCAAAATCAAACCCATATTACCCGAATAAGGGTAATATTGTAATCGACAACAATGTTTGCCTTCAAAAGAAAGGTAAACATTAGACAGTTTACGGCTAATTCATTTCCAAGATTTTCTGTAAATAGTGTTAAATGGTTTTAGAAAAGCATGATAGAGCTCAGTGGCTGGTCCTAAAAGCAACGGAGGCTGCAACTAGGTCAACATATTCATGCCAGCAGTTCAGATTTTCTTCTCTCTTTTTTTTTTTCAAATCTTACAAAAACATCAATTTTTTCTTCCTTCTTCATTCTTTCCCTCTCTCTCTCACTCTTCACAACTCAATAACTACTTCAAGCTAACTCTCTGAGCCGTACTATAAGAGAGAAACCTGTTTCATCACGCAGCAACATTATATATCACTTCTTCCATGAGGGAATGTGATTTGCTTTGTACAGCAAATAACAAAGACACTAGTAAGCATTTCCGACACTGGCGAAATTAAAGACCGATGGCTCCCTCTGCTGTTGACAACTGAGAAGGCATTAATAATAATAATAATAATAATAATAATAATAATAATAATAATGATGATGATGATGATAATAATAAAAGCATCCACCCTGGTATCAGCAACTCGGATGTAGTTCCTCTGGTTCAGAGAAGTAGCCTGGCTAATTGTAGCATTTCTGTGGTTGTGTTATCACACTTTAAAGTCGTCGTGTTTTCCGGCGTATACATGGTGTGACTATCGACTTCACTGTAGAATAAGATTAGAAGACACCAGCATCAGCGGACGCCCGATCTTAAATGAACTGGATCTGTATCGAGTAGCAGATTCGGATCAGGAACTTCCGAACTAGAACTAAAAACAAAAAATCACTTTAATCCAAGAATCTGAATAGCATCTGTTTGTAAAACTTTCAACAACTTGAAGTCATAGGATGCAGTAACAGATCTGTAGCTCTTTCAGATTTTT